TATGTATATATATATATATACAAACACACACTCAACGAAATACACTCTTAAACACAGGAAGACTCTATTACAAGGTGCACCCTGGTGTGGTTTGCCCCTTCTTTCCGATCAAACATCTCTCACCCTTATCTACCCTGTTTTTCTTTGTATGCTACTCTCTTGTATACCTTTAATCTTCGGCACTTAGATTCTATATGATTTACTTATGTACTTATGTTGCAACTGACTGGAAACTCTCACTAAAACTGAATAATGAAAGTGATATATAATTAAACAGACTTCCCAATTCTGAATAAAACACAATTCTTTTGCGTGCAGCGCAAGGTCCCAACCTCTACACCACAGACTCGATTTTACTGTCCTCACCGACACGCAATAAAAACGAAAAATCAAAATCCGACACACATATACAAACACACAAACACACATACACACACATAACAACACAAACCCCCTCCCCACACCCTCATCCCCACACACGCGCACATATCCACAGTCAGGGGCGAAGGCTGACATGTTTGATAGGGTAATCAAAGTGAGATGGGACCGCGTAGGGCCTGGAGATATCACACTCACACAAGCCACAAGAATCTTACTGGCACTGGAGACTGGAGGCGGCAACTCTGACTAGAGTTGTGAATGAAAACAAATCCTGAATTCATGTTGTATGCATATTTAACCGCTAAAATAATCGGGAACGTATTTGATTAAATATTTATTCTAACTAACCTTAAATTTAACTTTAGATTTGAACATCCGAACACCAAAGAAAGAAGCAGAGATGTCAGTACTACAATGGCAGGCAGCCGAAACACTTTGGTAGAGCATGCCAATTATTAATTTTTTTATTTCACATTTGGCTGTTTTTTCTTTAGCTTTTCGCGGCCAGGAGCCAGTGTCATAATCGAGGTCACGATCTGATTATAGGACGTTAAAAAGTCGAGGAAAAAAACAAGCATGCGCAGCAGTCAAGATAATATTAGGAGTTAGTTCCCCTCACATCTATGAGGTAGACTCGACCAGTGTAATAGTTAGCTTACATAATCAGCGGGTGTGGGTGCTTATAACTGTGGCTCGAAAGGGGTGAACAGGGTATAAGCGGCAAATGAAAGAGTTTTGACTGATATGCACATGTTTCCTTCAACTCTATTGGTAGACTCTTCCAGCCTCACTTTAAGCTTACTTAATCAAAGCTTGCGACTGCTTATGGAGTGGTCCGATAGGGGCGAACAAGTTATTTCTGTGGCAATGAAACGGTTTTGAAGGTTAGACATAGTCTATTGTTCATTGGTGATCATGAACGTCTCTTTACATTTAATTTATGAGGTTTACGTCCATGGGTGAATTTGACTGCGACAATGTTTCAAAATTAGGAAGGGAAGCAGTGTTATTTGATTATATAGACGCTTCGCCTGTGTACACGGTCCCCCTCTCCAATCCCTGCACAAACCTACACACACGCACGCGAACACATAATCAAACATAGATATAAATAACCAGTCAAAAACAACGATGGACTCCGATACAGGTAGATCTAATTAAACACCACAAACACGCACTCGGTCATGTCCCTGCGATACTTGTTTCCCCCAAAAAAGTTCGGAAAGTTGCTCGATTCAGGAAGGGTTTTTCAAGGGATGCAACTGAGTAATTCTATTTTCACTCTTGTTCTTGGCCGTGAAGGAGTTATCCTGCCCTTTAGTCCTGTTTGCAAAAGATCGAAGAGTAATTGCCCTTCTCAAAGGTCCTTTTTATTGACAGCAAATGTATAGATATCTAAGTGTATCTGTGTAACGTGCTCATCAAAGGTGTCTTATATTATATCATACATGTATCCTGTACAAACCTATGTACACATAATATTGTATGCACATGCACATGGGTTCTTAATAAATTTACGCTCCAAACTACAGTTAAACGATGCACAATGTGTGTAATAAAAAAACAAAAACAACATAAAAACAACAAAAAACAACAAACCATCAACAACTGCAAAGAAAAACCCCAACAAAAACAACCCCCCATAAAATAAAACGAAAAACAAACAACAGAAAAGAGGTAAACATTATATTTATTAAAAGATTTTCCTTAATAACATTGTGTGCAATGACGCCTGATTTACTCGCTGTAGCACGCAAAATCCGGCACTCAGAGTAAATACATTATCATAATTTTTCTTTCCTCTTTCTTTTTCCTTTTGTAAAAAAAGGCCATTTGAAAGCTTAATACAATATACATGTGAACAACATAAAGATAAATAATAACAAACATCAACGGCTCTAAAGTGTACTAGATTATCATTTAAAACTTCCAGTACTATAAATAACTTCCAGTTATAAGTTGATTAAAAGTACAAACTCCTAAGTTATACTGTCCTGTAAAACACTGGGTTGTAAAATGCTGAAACAAATTTACAAGTTTTTGTGGGAAACTTGAAACTTTATGAACTGTTTATAAGTATCAACATTCACAACAAAAAAGGTGGGAAGAGTGGGGTTACATTTAATGGGTAGGGCAGGCTTGGTCAAATTTTTCAGATCGGGGGGGCCACTTCAATAGGCTAAGGACAATGAACAGCAAAAACACTGCGCCTTTTACAACTGGACATGGGGCTCAAGGTATATTTAAAATAAAAAAAACCCAAAAAAAAAAAACAATAAAAAAAAAAACAACTAACCAACCTACAACATGTAAACTGCTTTTCTATGATAAAAGGATTATAATTTTAATTTTTAAAAGAGCAAACAAGACTGTTTCCTTTGAATGACACTTGCCATATAGTATATAGACTAAGTATGTAACTATTTGTTAGAATATTTATTGATTTCCAGGTTACTTGAAAAAAGTTACCAAGTTTTCGCCGACCGCACACAATTCTGTGAAGGGCCATATTTGACCCATGAGTCGTAGTTTGCTTACGTCTGGTTGGGTATCTACAAATGGGGGGGG